CCAAAAGAAGAAATTTAGTGATTGGACTACACCTGGCATCTCCAAAAGTCGAAATAGGCTCTATGATTTGTATGGACTAAAGTGTACCTCGACTGATCCAAAGTTTATTGAATGTGAAAGAAATTATTTAAAAATTTTTAGGAAATTATGTGTTTCAACAAAAGCAAAATATATATCTGAAAAATTTATAGTTCAGAAAATAAAATAAAAACAAATCTGGACTATCATAAATAAAGAAACGGGTAAAAATAAATGTATTATGCGTACATACTCATCAGAGGTTGACAATAAAGATATTAAAACAGATGAAGCGGTTGCCGATACATTGGAGAATTTTTTTTCTAAGACACCAATAGAGTTCTTAGTTCATGTTCTAGACTTGTGGTTACTCATATAGAGTCAGTTGTTGATAAGTGAAATACTGAATTTTATTTTAGACATGTTAACAGCTCAATTAAATTCCATTAATGTCAAAAAAATACTGTTTTTTTGACGTTTCAACTTATGTTATCAAATCTTTAATATTATCTAAAGCGCCCCAATTTACTTTTATTTTTAATAAATGCATTGATGAAGGAACTTTTCTGATTTAATAAAATATGTTTATATAATCACACTTTTCAAGGCGGGCGACAAGTCTGATCCCAGTAATTTCAAACCAATATCTATACTACCAGCGCTAAGTAAAGTATTTGAGAACATTATTTATAATCAACTGCTTGCACACTTTTCGTTAAATAAATTACTTAACAAAAATCAGTTTGGTTTTAGCAGAGGTAAATGTACCACAGAAGCTGGAATTGCACTTCTGAGACATATCTATGATGCTTGGGAGAATAAACGAGATGCTATCGGCATTTTTTGTGATCTATTAAAAGCATTCGACTGCGTTAGTCATGAAACACTGTTGGGGAAATTAGAGTTAATACTGACACCATAATTGGTGTGACGAAAAATTCACTTAATCTAAAGAAATCATATCTTTCTGATAGAATTCAAAAAGTAGTAATTAATGAAGCGAAATCTGCAGAGGCACCCATTACTATAGGCGTACCTCAGGGATAGGTATTACGACCATTGATTTTTCCAATTTACATTAATGATCTTCCTGACTTTACAAAGAATTTGTGTGAGACAATATTATTTGCTGATAACACCTGTTTAGTGTTTAAAGTAAAGAGGGGTAATGATTGTTTTGATGATGTAAGTGATACTCTCGTCAATGTTCTACAGTGGTTTGATAATAATAATTTAAAGCTTAATTCAAATAAAACGAATTGCATAAAGTTTGCATAACCTAATGTGAGGCATGGAAGTACACTTCTAAAAGTAAATAGCGAAAAAGTTGAGTTGGTGGAATCGACGAAGTTCCTTGGTATTATACTAGATTCCCGACTGCAATGGAGTCCTCATATTGATAACTTTTCAAGTAGAATGAGTTCTGTAACATTTGCTGTTAAAAAATTAGACTCTTGACAAATGTTGAAACGGCAAGATTGCTATATTTTAGTTATTTTCATAGTGTAATAGTAGTAGTAGTAATGACGTATGGTCTATTGTTGTGGGCTTCTGCGGCTAGCATTGAAAGATATTTTTATTCTACAAAAGAGAGCTGTCCGCGCTATATATAATAATAATAATAATAATCTTTATTGCACGCTAGACAGGACATAATACAGAGAAGCTAGAAAGAAGAGAAAGATTACAAAGGGCGACCTTATTGCTACGTAGCAATCTCTTACAGGCAACCCGAGGCAAAGAAAAACATGAACTATATAATAAAAAGAGGGGGGTGCAAGATGGAGAAGTAAATAGATAAATCTGTATAATGTAATATAGTTAATAAAATAGATAAAGATAAAAAGTCATTAAACATATTAACAGTTTTCAAGAAAGTGTGTTTTAACTTTTACAATAAAACAATTTAAGGTTCGAGCCTTTCTTACAACTTCAGGCAAAGAATTCCAAAGATGTACCGCATGCACGGAAAATGAGTAGGATAAGAAATCGGAAGTATGACGAGGAATATTAAGGGTTAAGTTAAAAGATGAGCGTAGAGTACACTGTGAAGAGGAGGTTCGGAAGGAAAAGCATTTTTTAAGGTAAGGAGGGGCCGTAGGTAGAAAAAGGATGGAATAGAGGAGCGTAAGAGTATGTAAGTCTCTGCGCCGGCGAATAGGGAGCCAGTTTAGTTTGGAGCGGAAGTGTGACACATGGTCATATAATTTACGGTCTAGAGAATCTCTCAGAGAAATATTTAAAGGAAGAAATATTTTGACTGTTGCCTCTCAATACATTTATGAAAATATTATGTACGCAAGAAAACATTACAATTCCTTCACAAAAAAAGAAGTGTTCATAATCTTAACACAAGAAATAAAAATAAACTTGCCGTTCCAAGCATCAGACTTTGCTATAATCAATAAAGTTCCACAAAATGTAATTGACCTACCCATAAATAAATTTAAAATTCATGTTAAGAACATACTTATGAGTAAAGGCTATTATAAAGATGATGATTATTTTAAGGATCGCAATGCATGGAATTAATAGCCTTCGCTTTATTCTATAAAGACTAATTAAATGTTCAAAAAAAGGGGGAGGCCTATGTTCAGCAGTGGACGTCTTCCGGCTGATGATGATGATGATGATGCTCAACCTATGTCCTACAGACTTTGAAAGTTGTATTTATTATTGTGATAATAAATATTATTTTGTTAATAACATGATTTATGTAAATGTCATTACTTATGATAAACAGCTGGTAAGTTTCTTTTGCTTGTTCTACTTGTCAGCTAAAAGACGTCCTGAACAAGTGGTAGGGAAAAAAAATTTTTGGACGATTCAAATGTGCTTGTAATAAGCTAAAGATAATCTAAAGATATTTTCATTTCATTTAATTTAGGTAATTATGAACGACCTTATATAAAAACACCAAATCAGGCAGTTACCTGCGATCTGATAACGAGTTAATTAAAAAAAAACTAAGACGTTGATTTTAGCTACAACGGTGACTAATTCCTTGCGAAAAAAGGCAAAATAACGTCTATAAGAACGGTGGATGCCTTCAATGCGCTGAAAGTATATGTTATAGAATGGACTCCAAACAACACAACCGTACTCCAACGAGCTTCGGACCAATGCATTAAACAATACGAGTATGTTTGAAGCCTCTAGGATTCCGCTTTTATAACCCAAATATTCGAGAAGACTTTTCAACTGTGTGATTGATATGGGCAGAAAAACAATGCTTTCGGTCTATTATTACCCCAAAACCTCTAATTTCGCTCACCAACTGTAGTGTAACTCCATCACTTTTATAACTCGAAACCAACGGTATTTTTTTCCTAGAGAACCTCATATGACAACACTTATTGCTATTTAGTTCCATACGATTTTCATTACACCATAATTTAATTCTATTCAAGTCTTCTTTAATTTTTTTGATGTCCGATATGGATTCTGTTACTTTGTAAAACTTTAAGTCGTCGCCAAATAAAATAAATCTGCAATGTCTGATTTCATGCATTATGTCATTGATAAAGACAGAAAAAAGCATGGGATCCAGATGAGAACCCTGAGGCACACCAGAAACAGTAAAATAGGTTTCCGATTCGTACCCACTCATTATGATGAGTAAAGTAAGAAGAAATAAAAGTAATACTCTTAAATAAGGAAAAGTAAATAGGTATAAAGTACCTACTTAATTGTGGACGTGTAAACTATACTATTCGTATTAAAAAGGGCATCAACTAAATTACCATTAACTAACTGATTTTTTACAAAGAAATAATTTACAAATAATCTGAAATTTTACAATAATAAAATTACATATTTTTAAGTGTTCTATAATAACCATAGCGATATTTTCTCAATAGAAAAGAATAACCAAAGTTACCCCCTAAAATACCGTATGCATTTCTTGTTATATATCAAACCCTTTTTCTTATAACCGCTTGCTTGCCCCATGTTAACTAGTGGTTAACCAAACTCAAACGCTAACATGTAAATGAGCAAGTAAGCATAATTTTTAACTATGTAAGTCACTCTGTAACCGTGGCTTTATACATCTGAATAGGCTAGTGCTACTTTTTTAAAGATCGAACCTTATGTACCATTGACCATATAACATTTTTGTTTTGGTAAGCTGACGCCATCTAGGGGAGAGTAGAAAAATTAAATCAGTCGCCCGCCATCTTTCGCTTAATAATATAAAATATTATGTATTACTATTATAATACAATCAATTATAATGAGGTAGAAAGTGTATGAAAAATCAAACTAAAAATAAATAAAGAAATAGTTCCATTTCACTAACATTATTAAATTTGCTAAAGACCAAATCATTTACATTTTTAAACGAACACCACCAAGAACGAAACGCTAATTCTTTGTGAGATGTTGCTAAGAAGCTCATTTCAACATTTGGTGAAAGCAACTTTTTAAATATTGTAAGCGTTCTACTATATTTGCAGTAGTTTGGTTACGTTATGTTGGTATTTTTTGAATAATAAATTGATTAATACACAGTAAATATATGATGGTGAATTGCTGATTTACAAAAGATGTCAATTTAGTATTAGTATTATCATGTGAAATCAATGAAATTGAGAAAAAATTGATATAACCGTGTCTTTGTCTATTTTTACTTGACTATATTTAGGTAAATAAGGTACTTTTGTAGGTAAAAGTTACAAAAGGAGGTACTTTTGTTGACAAACGTTATTTTTTGAAGTAGTAATTATAGTATTACTAACGTACGTAGCATACATATCATGGTGCATGCATGGTACACACGGCTGGTTGTTAGACTGCCACAATATTCAAAGTCTATAAACATTCGATTAAGGTTTAAAATCAAACGGAGAAATTTGACTGTTTTATATAACCTGACGTGCTGTTAATTGTACACTAATAGTCTGTGGTACATTACGTTAAAAATCAATGCACTGGCAGCACTGTTTTTTTCTCCCTGTCGTTCAATGCCATCCCATCTCTTTCGTTTTGTCAATCATTAAAAAAAACCAAAGTAAAGTGTTCTGTCTGCGAAATCTGTGATTATTGGATATTTATTTGTGTTTGTAGTTAACATGGGGACAGAAGTGGCTATATCTTTTAGTGCTTTACGTGCTCAACTAGAGAACGAAAAATCTAGTTTGTATAAAATTGATGAGAATATAAAAAAAATACAAGTTACTGGACGGTTTCCTAGCGATAGGTTAGTAGCTGGCTTGGATACTGTTCTAGTGAGCATGTTACGATAAATTCTCAACGACTTACATTTTGTTAATAGATTTAATAACTCTTCGGGAGACTACGTGAGAGGTGGAGCCCGCACAGGCAATCGAAATCTGTACCAAGATGCCGGCAATAACTACAAGAATGATGATCAGTTTGGCAAAAGAAAACATGAAACTAAGACTGTGTTTAGCAGGTGAATTTATCTATAACTTAATCACATTAATTTGTAATTAGTTAACTGTGTACACTAAACAGGTGTTTTGTATGTAACATGTAATGGTCAATACATATTTTCAATCAGATTGTCAGCGCGGACGCAAGATAGTGATGGTGAAGACGACGTTCCCGGTAATAAAAGAGTAAGAATGCCTTCAGCAGTGTCCAGGGAACTGCCAACCAGAGCTGCAGTACTTCGAGCTCAAGGTGGTGATGAACAAGCCAGAACCAGAAATCGTCGTATATTTGGTTCACTGTTGGGAACACTACAGAAGTTTAAACAAGAAGAGATTGTGCTGCAGACAAAGGTATCTTGTGGAAATGGAAATACATATTATTAAGTTATTTGCCAATTTAATTACATAGTTATAATTATAGTTTTTAAATAGAAACTATAATTATAACTGTTCTGTTTAAATATAGGGTATCTTAATGAGTTGTATATTTTGTGCCTCTCAGGAAGATAAAAAAGCTCAAGTTGAACGTAAAATTGAAGAGCAAGCGAGATTAGAGAAAGAGAGGGAACAAAAAGAAAGAAAAACATTGTTCTTGGAGAGGGAACACAAGAAAGCAACCATCAAGGCATTGGAAGCCAAAATGGCTCGTGTTCAGGAGTTTGAGAAGTGGGAAACTTCACAGAAAAGCCTTACTAATTTTATCTTGACCAAAGCTAAACCACATTTATACTGGATTCCAAAAAAAATGTCAGACAAAGCTACTGAGAAACTAAATTCAAGTAGAAAGTACCATGAAAGTAAGTGTATTTTATATTAGTGATATTACATATTTTACTGCATATATACATATCCATTTATTTTCTCTACATAGTAATGACTGTAGGATAGCTGCCTGTCTTACTTATTTATCCAGAGATTTTTAGTTTGTATAAAAATTATTTAAATTTTGAACTTGATGATGGATCTTGATTTTAATTTACAGCTAAATATGGTTATTTATTCCGCAGTAAGTAAAGTATTATAAAATTATTTTAATATACCTTGAGTTCTGGTTAAACATTTAAAGGTTTTTTACATCTTTAAACTTGGGTAATTTCATCAACTCTGTCCTGCCTGGTAGTTTCAGTTATGCATTCTAGTCCATCGTCAAACATACTATTGCCAGGTAAATGATCTTCCGACAAAGGAAATTAAAGAAATTGAGGTGGAGCTAATAATTATCTTACCCTGTATGTACTCCTTGGAATTATTTGAAATAAAAGAGAATTCCAAGGAGCTGCATTAAACATGTTTTCATCATACCACATATTAAGTGAGGTATAAATTTACACTTTAAAAATTCTAAGGGTATTCTATTATTTGCCTAATAAAAAGCATTTTATGAAAATTAAACATGATTGATTGTTTATTAAAAACTGAAAAATAAACTTCAGTAATTGGTTTGATGGAAAAAGTTATTTTTTTTATATGAGCATTTCTTTTCTTTCTGCAAATCTTTAATCTCGATGAAAATGCTTAGTGCTTTTTTTTGTATTTTTACAGAGTGCATGATAAAGAAACGTGAAGAGTTGCAAGAAGAATTACAAAGGATAGAACAAAGATGTCTACGCCAGAGAGGTCCTGGTACTAAGGAGAATGATCCAGAATCACAAAATAATAAAGATTCGTCTCAACATAACGATTCTATCACTGAACACGACCATGAAATGAAGACGGACGAAAGCGACGATAAATCAAGGAAAAGGAATAAGTTTGCAATGGATGCAGATGAGAAGGAAGACAGTGACGCTGATGACAGGCATGATGACGTTTCTCCGTCAGTTGTACCAAAAGAGGAAAAAGGTAAATAATAGCAATTTTAGTATTATATTTATTTTACAAGTCTTTGGCAAAGCATATGCTGAATAGCTATTGTACATACTAAATAAAAAATTCTTATTTTTCAGAATCAGATGAAAGCAAAACAGAAGTAAGTTCTGAACAGATTACTAATGTAGCCCAACCTACGGAAATGGAAATAACAAATGAATGTATGGACTCTACTATGGAAACTAGTGAAGCCAATGATACCCAACTAGAAAGTGAAATAATCACATCCAATGAAAACAAGCTTGATGCAGGATCTTCAGAACATTCCTAACAACTACTGCACAAACAAATTCATAGAATTTAAATCAGTGTCACTATAAAATAAAAATAAAATGTAAAAAAATGGTTCTTTCCCATCTTTAAAATAAAAATAACATAGTAAAATAATGTTTATATTTATAAGATTAATAATTTAGTAAACATCACAGTTTATTAATGTTTGCATTAGAAATTACAAAGCAATCAAGTAAAGTGATGGAATAAATTAAATATAATTTTATTTATTAAATGCATTCTATGCCCTGGTTGATATGAAAATATGTATATATATAAAGTAGAAAATAATTATTGTTTTACATATCAGTAATTTAACACTTAATATAACAATATTAAAATTCCATTTAGCTCTACTACAGCTGCTACGGCATATTTTTGATATGCTTGAAATTTTTAACAAAATTGTGTTCCAAAAATATAAACGGACATAAGTAACAATACCACAAATCAAAATATATTGTATAAAAATCTATAACTAGCTAATTTTTTTAGTCTCGAATATTAAACACATTTTTTTATATTTTTTGCGTCCTCTTACATTACGGCGATACATCGAGTTAAAATGTCGTCACGCCTTTATAGATTTTCTACAAAGCTGTGACGTAGCAAGCCCTCACTTCTCAACTTTAACGTCTGTTAGTGTCAAGCTATTTTTTGCTAAATTGAAGCAACGAAAATATGTTTTTAATTATTTTCTATTGTCTGACTGATAAACTAATTTTTTTATTTTTATTTAGGCATCATCCTCAAGTCACTCACCTGACAATCAACATGTTTCATAGCAAAAAAAAAATAAATAAGAATAAAGCCACTTTGATAATCAGTGCATAAGTTATTCATACAGATGATAGTTTTCACAGATTATAGACAGATTATACAATTTGACAAGTTTAAAAGAACAAAGCTCATAAAGAGTGCCAAATTAACTTTATCTGCATGTCAGATCACCATCAGTCATATTTTTGCAATGACTTTTGACCTCTACTGTTGACTCTACTTTACAAAGGAGGCTCCATAACATATTATAGATTTTAAAGTTCTTTTGTATGAATAAGCTCTCATAGCCCTGAGATCATAAATATTACAGTGGAGTCTAGTTTTTTACCAATAAAAAATATGACGCCTTTTAAGGACGTCAATTCAAGTTTTCAGTAATTACAGTTAAAGTATCTGCACCATGAGAATAAACAATAATAAGATACATTAGTCTGTGCAATCCCATAACGTTAAGGTTTATTATTCACTGTATTGTGCAGCTGTATCCACTTTCATAGCTGATAAAGAACTCATTCAGATGTGAAATTTCTTCTTTATTTCCATCTAGTCTAGGGTGAATATCCTGGAAGCGATATCGTCGAGCATCCAATCCATACCCTCGAGCAAATTCTCCCCTGTGACAGCAGAGCACCTGACAATACGCCAATGGTGACTTTTAATGCTGTCCAGTTCTAGTGCCTGGAACGACAATACACATTAAGAATTTTAGAAGAGTAATCTTGTTTCTTATTTTCTGTGCTCATTGAGAATTGAGATTTACAGTTTGACAATTTTATTGGTAAGGTAAATGAATTATTTTACTAGTAGTAAAGTATAGATACCTCTCCAATTTCATGTAATGAGAGTGCCCCAGGTAAATCCGCCTTATTAGCAAGCACAAGAAGAGTAGCCCCTGCCAGTCTTTCTTCACGAAGCAGGGCTCGCAGCTCTCTCCCACAGTCGGCAAGCCGCCGCGCATCAGCACTGTCCACCACCCATGCCACACCATCAGTACTTTCAAAATAGTTCTTCCAATATGACCTGATTGATATTAAAGGAAAATTTATTTACGAACTATATAAAATTATGCAATGTATACACTTAAGTCCTGTGAGTTGTAAATATTTTTTTTATCTATCCTCTCACTTTCCGGGCCTTCTATCTGGCAAGGAATGTCAAGGTTGATTGAGACCATATGATTGTTACTCCTGTGACCAGGTCCATCTTTACCCTTGGTGGAGAGGGTGTGATGCACCCAGGAGCAGTGCTGATGATTTTTTTAATATAAATATGTGTAAAAGAAGTGGGCTGGGGGGCGCCGGAGTGCTACTTGCAGCCAGGCGCCTGTTGTGCTTAAGACGGGCCTGCCTATGACCTATTGCATACTGATATTAATTACTACAAGATTAATTTTACAAAGTATACTGAATAACACATAAGTACACTTCTGCTTCACTAAAGTAAAAATCTTTACAGAGTTTTGTACATTGTCTGGGTTACTGTAAAGCAAATAGACAATATAATCACGATACCTCAACGACTTCTGACCGCCGACATCCCAGATGTTCAGCTTGTAACCACGGTGCTCGAGGGTTTTGATGTTGAATCCGAGAGTAGGTGAGATGGTATCAATAGGCTCACCGTTAAACCGCTTCAATATCGTTGTTTTGCCGGCATTATCTAAACCTCTGAACAATTTCTGTTAAGAAAATAGTTTTTATAACGAAAAAGAAGCTTAACAGAAGTTTCATGATGTGGTTTTTAAAAGGATACAACATGAGGATTCTCATTTCTTTCTCCTTCTGACGGAGTTTCTTTAGTATTGTTAGAAAACCCATTTTTTAATAATAAAATAACATTTCCTTTTATTTGTCGCTTTTCTTGATGATTTACCAAAGAGTTTTTTTTTTTTTTTTGGTTAATTTGTCCCCCTTGTTTGGGACGGGCAAAGGATGTTAGGTCCATACAGCCCTGCCTGGATTTTCTTGATCTTTAAATCTTTTGAACTGTATTTTTGACAAATCTGTATACAGGAACATAACTGTCAATGTTTGATAAGAGTTTTCTTAAGTCGCGCGGGATGGTTTCCTCGTTAAAAATCTTCATTCTTTGTAATTCTTGAAAGAGTATTTTTCTTTGTGCTTTAAATGAAGGACATTTGAAAAAGATATGTTCTAGTGACTGGTTCTCCATGTTGCAGAAGTCACAAATAGGTGAGTTAACAATCTTTAATCGATACAAATGATCTTTGAAAAGGCAATGGCCTAGTTTTTTTTTTTTTGGTTTAATTTTTCCATTCCTACAGGGGTTACCAAAGAGTAAAGCAGTAAAATAAATAATAAGGAAGTGATTGTCTATCAATAGAGGTGGAAATAACTGCTTAAAAATTTTAAGCGTTGTTACGTTGTACGATTTTTAATAACCGTTTCTAAAAACTGCTTATTGCTTAAACGCTTTTTTTTCGACTGACGTTTGCAAATCATTATAATAAGCGTGCAACATTGTGTTATCACTATGTAGCTCAGTGGCGTAGTAGATAAGCGCCGCAGCCCGCGATCGTCCCTGCAATGGGGACGTAAAAGGGCTGGTGATGATGATGCTTAAATCTTTAAAACTACACAACGGATTTCGATGCGGATTTTTTTCCTAGATAGGGTGACTCAAAAGGAAGGTTTTTATGTATAATACAAGATCACAATACTATTACTGTTTCTCGACATTTTATTTACACAATCTTAAAACTAATGCAGTTCAATAATATTTCGAATGTTTTATATACACACCATCACCTCATAACAAAACTTATTTAGATTGTTTATTTAGGAATAAACAAAAGTCATTACTTAAGTAGCAATTTATTTACGCCTACAATTCAACACAACGTGCACTTACTTCAACAACGAAAAGCGTACTGCTTTTTTAAGTATAAGTTCCGTTTAAAAAAGCTTTTGGATTAACCAACCAAAAAAGTTGTTGCAAAAAGTCTAGATGGATCACGTGCAATAGTATAATACAGTGCGTTTATGTAAAGTGCTGCCCCCTAATAGAAAAATGCCGAAACAGAAAATTGATTGAAGCCAGTAGTAATATCTTGATAGATGGCAGGACATACAATAAGCATTAGCATACTTTTCTTCTAAGTAAAAAGTGCTTTTGTACTTATTTAGAAAAGCATGCTTAATAGGCTAGTTGCCAACTTTTTTTTTATTTCCTAAATAAATAGTCCATTAACATTTGAGAAATAATGTAGAAGTAACAGCATGTCTGCGATTAATAGTTTCGGAGATACGTTGCTGTGTTTGTAGAACTGCTGCTAGTTGGCCGAAAACGCTCCCTACAAATTCAAGGCACTCAGTGACGTCACACGGTGCTACAGTAGCGAAAAATGTATGGCCGTCTGGACATTTTTTGTAATATCTTTGTTATTTGTGCGTTTATGTTTATAGCTGTTATAATGAAAGTTGTAACATTTTTTACATCTAATTTAATGCCTTATGTATTTTAGCAAATTTATGTAGTAGATTTTTCTACTTTTTTCAAGTTTTCAAAGCATAATATTTTCCAAATCATTGACTTAAAATTTGTTTTGTTAAACATTTATAAGTTAAAATGGTTCATATTTGTCGAAGATATAACAAAAACCCGTATTTTCACTTGTAGGACACAAGCCTATTAAGTGTTTTTCGTTTAAACGTCCATCTCTATCTATCAAAGACGGGCATGGACTATTTAGAACAGGACGGGACGGAGTACTCTCAGCTGAAAAGCGAGCCAAGCGATATATCTGTTTGACTCTTTCTAATAGAGCGACAATAACATTTTAATGAAGAAGTATTTAAAAAGGAAACCCCTTAATTTTCACAACTCAATAACAAGACATATTATTATATTTTTTCATATTTGTATTGATATCTAAATATGTTTTTTACAATATTTAATAACTCCCGTTTCAACATATCGTCCTCAAAATACATTTTTTTTTTCTTTTGACCATTCCATAATTTCTTGTTTTTTTACATTTTACTGTTGGTACTAACTCTACTTTTCTCGAGTGATACGAGGTATTGTCATCACTATGACACAATGAAGTATTTAAAAAATAAAAATTAGTTCTATAAATCATACTAGATGTCACTAGAGATGTTTGAATTTTGTTTATGATATTCATTCAAATTTTGTTTCTGACGTAATAAAAGTAAATTGAGCATTGAAAATAAATAAAAATGACTTCGTTTTGTATTTCTTATAATATCTAACTTTCAAATTAATTTTAATCGTAACTTTAAGTTGTTTATTTTGTTACGTGTAAAGGAACGATGTTTGGTTTATATGTCAATATTAGTGATGAGCCAAATTATTGGTTGCTCATAACTTTCTTCTGAATTCAGGTTCGGAATTAAGAACAAAAAGCGGAGCGCAGAATTCAGCTTGTATTTGTATGTGTCATTATGCATCCACATAACGAATGATATTAATATAAATATCAAAATCAATTCAGTCCAGGCTGTTACATATTACTTGTGAAAGTCGAAAACTTTGTTAATGGTTCGCAAAACTAAGGCGGGAGATCTCGTACTAACAAAAATCGGCAAGAAACTCAGCATGGGCTGCTTTTTTACTTTCAATTATACGACCTAACTATACTATATTTACGATTTTAAGAGAGCATGACTACTCTAGGCAAAAATTTATTTCATTAAAATTTATTAATTTATTTAAAAAAAACTGATTTCAAGAGCAGGTTGTGTAGGAAGTCAATCTATTATTAACAATATTATTGTAAGAACCAAAAAGCACATACCCCCCGGACGAATTAACTTAACACATGGCTCGACGTTGCTGTCAACATGCAAAATCAGTAGCAATAGTATAATAACTGTACGTGTCTTTGTGATTTTGAAATTTAAAATTATAACCTTGCTGTTCGTTTAGAACAGACGTTTCTTGTTGATTGCTGAATGTTTATTAAGATGATTTAATTATGAATATAAGATTAAATAACTTATCATAGTTTTTTAAAGTCTTAATTTCGAAAGCACAAGTTATTTGCACGTTACACTTTCCACAAACGTCATTTTAGCCACAAGTCATATTATTTTATAGGAATACCTAGTATATTTGATACATATCGAATATTTTATTATAGTTATCGTTTTTATGACTTTTGTTGCTGATTAATAAACCCATATTTTTATATTCATCCATTCACCATACATAATATAAAAATATTATTGAGACTTGATGTAGTTTTCTTGTTGTACGTTCAACAAACAACTAATAGCAATAAAACTAACTTACCTAATTGTTATTGTTTTCAGAACTTTTGTTAAATATTATAATGAAAAATTCCTAGACCTACTATGGCATAAGTATTTTATTTATAAAAACTATTTGGCGGTAATATTATCGTATACCGTAGCTAAATGCCACTTTTAATTATATCACAGCATTCATTCAATTGATTTAGTTTATTTATTTATTAAGTTTAGTTCCCATTTTTCCCTATACAAATAAAAAAGAAATTTATTCAAAAATATTTGTATTAATCGAGTTGCGTTTACATAACTCGAAATAGTTAAATTTCAACTCGATATCAATATGAGTTTTCAGATCTATAAAATCACTGACAATTCTATTCTCTTTTTGATTTAACGTCATGAATTGACGTTTAGATCCAACAATTTGTGCTGCCATCTAGTGACATAAATTTTTTAATACTTCCTCATTATCATCCAATTTTGGTATTTAAAACTTTCTTAAATCAATTTTCAAATTCTTCTGCGTTCATTTCTTTATGGTAATCACCTTGTTTTTTAGATTCAAACACGTTGAGACCTCCTTCAACGAATCTATCCTCACTTGCTATATGGATTATTATTAACATTTTGCCCTTTCCTATAACAAAAACAAACTTTTATGGAAAAATTCAGAAATAAAAGTAGGTATATAACAGTCTTCCTGTTAAACAAAAGAAAAGAACAATGTATGTGTCATTAACATACCTCTGCCACTCAAATAATATAATAATAATATAAATTAACATTCATAACAGACAATGAAAATTGTATACGTTTACAAATAATGTATACACAGTAGTATAGATGTGTTATCGGCCCTTATAAATACGCGGTGGACTATTCGATGATCTGATCGTAAGAGCGATCGGAAGTAAAAGTGAAGCGGTAACTAGAGCGGTGAATGATCTAATAGTTTTGTGAAGTGTTATTAGTCACGTGACATAGTGAGTTGAAGTGTAAATTTTGTAGATCGATTATTTTTGTAAATTTATTGTGTTAAGTAAAGGATTGTGAACTAAAATTGGCGTTCATTTTTATCCCGAACCCAAATACGTAACAATGTGTATGTAGAATGGCAAGTGTTTGTTTATTCCTGAGATTGCACAATCTGTCAATAACGGTCACAAATCGCCTCTATACGCATGCATGGGTATACATACTAATATTACCAAATCATCAAAATATATTCGATTTGACAAAAAATATGGTAATATCGCTGCTATATAAATAAGAGAATAGTTCAATGGTGAAGTGGTTCGCGTGTTTCATCTGCGATTGCGGAGGTTAGGCGACAATCGTAAAAGACAGTAATAGACTGGATTTCCAAATTTCTTTTCAGAAAGATTTAGGATAACTACGTTTTCCCAGTACGAATTAATGAGTAGATTGATTTCATCCATTAAGAATACCTGTGCTTTAGCACCACCAATCCATATTGGGACCTCCACTCAGGCTTAATGAGGAATGCCTGGTGGTTAGTGCGTTTGATCCTCGAATTGAAGAGGTGATCAATTTTTTGTACATGCTACTAAGCACAAGAGAAGACAAAAGAGCAAAAATCCGCTACACCCTGCTCCACCCTGTCCCATCTCGTAGCTCCTGTCTCACTTCACCACGTTCAGGCCTATGCGAACGTCGCTTAGTCTTGGCAATCGCTTCCAATTGATATCTAAGTTCCAAACTTTGAAGTCCAGTTTTTTTAATATGTTAGGTAAAAGGAGCGGAAATGATTATATTTGGTCCATTCGTTACCGGCAAAAATCAACTTTTGGTAAAGTCGTAGGTGTGTCACCCCTATACTGATGAAAGGATATTGTTTCATCAATATTTTCTTTTTTTCCTGTGTGAGAGTTGCTGCATACGATTACACATTTTTTTCATCTGGTTTTACTATCACAAATACTGATTTGAGTTTTCCTTGAATAATTCTATAGTAATTGTAATTTTTTCTCAGAATAATGTCACTACGATACTACCAAGTTAAGTTGTTCTTTTTTTATACAATATTAAGAGAATATAATGACATTTAAATCTAGTAGTGTAAAGCTGTAAATGCACCCATTTTGCAACCAGTTTGAGAAACAACTTAAAAATAAGAAACAAGTGTGGATTCGTTATCTCCTCTACTCTTATAGGAGATAACGAATTCAAATCCATTATTATGAGACAGGCAGCTATTTTTAACCCTTACTTTTTTCATGGTTTCTATGCTTTAGTTATTATTCCAAGGTTTTTTACACCTCACGTTTTATTTGCATTTATAGTGTGATTTAAAAGGAAATACGAAAAACAAGGGTATAATTTAACTCAATAAATAATATTTTCAATGAACCACATGGGTCTGGTGGATTTTTTAAGCATTTCTCATTAAAATATCAGTACAGCATTGTGAATGTAAAATTGATTATATTTAGAATAATAAATAATCAATGATTAAGCTTTGAAATATTGTCAGCACCTCGAATTGGTCCATGATTTTTTTTTTGGCCATAAGCAATTGAGAGAATTTTTTTAAGGAAATCGAAACTGATTGGAATCCATTATGATATGACCATAGAGCAAAATACCCATCCATGGCCGATCTCGCCGCTGTCATGTCTTTTATTTAATTTCTATTTCAATTATGAAGCTCCTTCAATGATTTTGTGTGGGTTATTAGTGTGGAAGTGATCGTGTGGTGGCGCGGTCTCGGTGATACGTCTCGTTGGTCGGCGGCACCATGTTCAGCGGAACGGTGCGACTGCGGGTATGTGAGGCGACGGGACTACGGCCGACCGACTTTCAGAAAAGGCACAACATGACCTTCGGAAAACCAGGTGCGTTCCTGAAATTATCCCAATAGATCGCTTTAGACTTTTATATTCTCAATTGTACACTTAATTTTTATAGTCTTTTATGTTAAGCGCACAACAGTACGTCTGGAAACAACGTAACATGTTTACCAAAATGGATGAATGTAATATATGTAAATAAGCGCTATGGTTACAGACGACCAACCGATAGACCCGTACGTTTCGATCGACGCTGATGAACATCATCTAGACCGTTCGAGCACTAAACCCAAAACATTTGATCCAGTATGGAATGAGACCTTCACTCATGAAGTGCATAATGTTACCAGGTATGACGGCGCAGGTGATGCGATAATGCCTTGCTTGGGTACAACTAGTACAAATTATAATAACATAATCTTACTGTGCTTCAGCTTGGGAATCACCGTGTTTCATGATGCTGCAATACCTCCAGATGATTTTGTTGCAAACTGCACTATTCCTTTTGAAGATCTCATGCATCGAGACAAAGATGCCATGGATTTTTGGGTAAGTTGTGTGGACATTATTGGTATATACATAACATCTTTATGTTTAGACTGTATACACCCAACTGAAATGTAACAATTTGAATAGACAGTTGCTACATTTATTCTCTGTAATCTTATGATAAGATACACAGATTATATGTTTGTGTTGTAAGTTACTATCAAGGTTCAGTTTAATGTTTGTTTTGTCTGATAACCATATTATGTATCTATTTGGAATTAATGTGTTCTTGAGAAGCCTGTTAGGAGCGCACATGCTATTGTGTTGTGGGCATGCATCATTTGAAAAGGAGATTTTCTAGTCCCGATCCTCGATATGAACATTTGGAAGAAGAGAGCACATGCCATGTAATAACAGTATCCTGTTTGTTTCTGTATGAATCACTGTCCCCTGTAGTATAATTATAATTTTCCTTAATGTTTGCAAAATGATTCATCGTCACTAGAATTTGACTCGATTGTGTGATAAAAAAAATAATTAAATGTGTTTGTACAACTTTTAGGTGGATCTAGAACCTCATGGGAAACTGCATCTCAAAATAGATCTGAAATGGAATTCTCAAGGTATGTGATCATTCCTGTTAATAATAATTAAAAAATTGGGAACTCAGAAGATCTTGTCTTTGTTTATCAATATGCAGTTAATTTATAGAACGATAATGCAATATTTATAATTTCATATCATAATAAGGAAATTTTTCTTTTGTCTATTTTATCACCCAACCTAAACCGATGTTAAAATAATTACAATTTTATTAAAATTTCCACTTAGATTCGGAGCAGGTCGAATGCAAAATACAATCAAATCTTTCCATTTTATAGTATTGGGATAGATAGTCAATATGGAAAAAATCTATGGACCACGTTAGCCACGAACGACTCGCTTTCTAGTTTTTCGAGATTTTAAAAAAGTAAAATGAAATGATGACGGCAGGGTGCGTGGAGGCGCGGGCGGGCGGCGGCGGCGGCGGGGGCGGCGCGCGCGGGGGCGGGGGCGCGCGCGGGGGCGGGGGCGGGGGCGCGGGCCGCGAGTTCAAGGAGGGCGCGGGCTTTGCGCGGCGCCGCGGCGCCATGCGGCGGCGCGTGCATCAGGTCAACGGCCACAAGTTCATGGCCACCTTCCTGCGCCAGCCCACCTTCTGCAGCCACTGCCGCGAGTTCATCTGGTCCGTACTGTGTACCCAACCCACCCGCCTTACCCGCCTCGTGACGGTTTTGTAGCCGTAGGATCCTGGTATTCAGAGAGTGATACGTCTCTTTGAATGAGTGATGTTTCTTATTTGTCGAACGTCCCGCGAGAGGTCGCGTTCTCCCCAGATACGACGCCTCCTCGTGTTTTGGTGGGATAAGTGTCAGTCGCCCACTTCACGAATTTGAATAAGCAGTGAAGTAGTTTTTCTTTACATACTTCTCGAATAACATTGTAAAACTTTGGTGTACGTAAAGATCGACGCGATCGATCGAAAGCACCGACGAATTTTTAGGGTATTAATTGTGTTGATAAATTGTAACAAATAGTGATTCATATACTATAACTATTTACTCACAATTTATTGAAATACATAAGCCTTCAAATTCGTTGACGTGGCTGCTATCTTGACGTATGTAAATTTTTGACATTGTTTATGAGCAGAGGAGAAAATCTCGTGACTGGTTTTCATCCTCAATCAGACCGGACAGGATTCTGTGATGTCTCAAAGAGTTCTATCTTAGTTAAAATACCATTTAATAAGCAAAGATCATACAGAAAACGCTGTAATAGACTTCACTATGTCAACCCAAGTAGATTGGTGAAAATGTACACCATCCCCTAAAAATAACAAACCGAGACGAAAGACGTACCCTCTGGAGATAAGACACGTGCACAGAGTATCGGGGTAGGGTACGCAGCATGTACCTGTATTGAAAAACTAACCAATTTTCACCATAAATTCAGTACTATCTTATGAGTTTGACCATATGGCCCATACCGGTCTGGCCAGGTGGTGATCGTTTATATGTTTGTTGGTCACCGTGGACATGGAAATAAGCTATTGCAAAATTATTTTGTTTTATCGAATTAGTGAGAACTACTGAATTGTTAATACTTATTATTTGAGACATTGTTCACATAAACTGTCGGCGGTCGACGATGTCGTAAAAATTATAAAGTTGTTTAAACAGTTCTTTTTATGCAAGAAATTGTTCGGTTAACCGATTATAACTATCATAATACTTTTGATTCAAAATGTTTAAACGGTACATCGGCCAAATTAAATAGTCCCTTTGCGCAAATGCTGCTCTTTTGATGACTTCTAATTTAATCAGGTTGAGATACGCATTGTCCTCCGATTACATTGGGTATTAATTTCTGTGTAACTTTTCAGGGGCCTCGGCAAACAAGGCTACCAATGCCAAGGTAAGCGATCATATTAATCCCCCGTTCGGGTCGAACGCTATGCTTACATTAATCCTGTGTAATATCTGTCAACAGTGTGCACGTGCGTCGTTCACAAGCGATGCCACTCGTCCGTGGTCACAAAGTGCCCCGGGATGAAAGAGGAGGTATGTTCCAAATTTGGTAGGGGGGGGGGCATAGCATAGAGTGCCGTGGCATAGCCGTCGCATAACCTCGTCGCATGTGCCCTCAGCAGCAGGGCGCGGGGGGCGCGGCGGGTGCGGCGGGGGGGCAGCGGTTCAACGTGAACGTGCCGCACCGGTTCGTGGTGCACTCCTACAAGCGGTTCACCTTCTGCGACCACTGCGGCTCGCTGCTCTACGGCCTCATCAAGCAGGGCCTGCAGTGCGAAGGTAACCGCTAACCGACCACCTCGCCCGCTCTAGAGTGGCTGCGCTGCACGAGTGGCTACACTGTGTCCTGTCTCGTCCGCAGTGTGCTCTATGAACGTGCACAAACGGTGCCAGAAGAACGTGGCCAACAACTGCGGCATCAACACCAAACAGATGGCGGAGATCCTCAACGAGATGGGCATCTCGCCGGACAAGAACCCGAGGCCGCAGCGCTCTAAGGTACACTGTGGTGACTCTTTGACTTCATATAATTTAGGTATGCGTCCAAAAATATATAATATTTACGGTTTTTTGGAAGATATATATATGTCTTATCTCATGTGCGGATTCAAAAGGTATTCCTACTTTAAATGTAGTTTTTAATACTTCCATGAAGTAGAATTGATAGGCATAAACATCTTTAAGTAGTTTAGCTTGTTTCTTCGTCAAGCAATTGTTTCTTCGTCAAGAAACCACTAAAGTTGCGTTGAATAATGACTGGGTTTAACTTTAGGAAGACGAATTTCATAATTGATACATAAATAAGGTCATGATAAGAAAATGCATCGACTGAACATTGACCATGCTTTGCAACATGCTGTGGAGATGAAACTATATACAGGTCAATAAGGGAAGGCTAAGAGTTAGGAAAATGATGAGTAGCATTAATTGGAAGTATGTGCATGTTATTTGAGTTATTAACTCTATGAAAAGAAGAAGTGCGGTGGTTATTTTTAAGGAGTAAAATAATGGAGTGCTAAACTACAAAATCCCTATGGATTTTGTAGTTTAGCACTCGCGGGATTTTGTAGTTTAGCACTCAGATTGTTGATGTTGGGGGGTGGGGATGCTGCTTGAAGCTCACTTTGATATTCATCCGATTTTCCGGTGAAGTTCTGTTGTACTGTACGGTACTGCAATGGATTCTTGAATAGATTTCATTTTGATGAAGTGTAGTGAGACAATTGTGATTTGTAGTATTGGGGAATTGGGGAAGAGATATCTTGTGGATAATACTTATTGGCAGGTATTGAGTATTAGTTAATAATATTTCAATAATTTTATGTTTGAAAATTAGGTTTAAATATTAATATTATATAGGTTTAAATATTATCTATAAGGTGTTCAAAACGATATTCAATTTCTTAATAATTGTAATATCCATTTATCTTTCTATTCACAATAGTACATTATTAAATTATAAGTATAGTTATATTTGTACATACTTAAATTTAAACCTAATGTGAGAAACTGGTATTTATAAAAGATACCATAGGAATCGGTAGTAATAGGTCACCAGGTAATTGTGTTATATAAATCCTGAAAGGTACTCTGTTATTTAAAGACATTTTGGATATATTATTTCGGTATCTTGATTTAAATTAAATCTGCAGACTCTTTAACTTAATATGAGTAATGAGTTTGACAAATGTTTAAATGAACATGAACAATAGCTCTTTTCTACATGTATATAATCAATATGAACAAACAAAAACAGATCACCTATAAATTATATAAAAAGGATAATAAAATAACCTACAAATAGAACTGGTCCTGCACACGCGATTGGTTTGGGATCGATTGTTATTAGTATCCTACATATATTATAATTGCGAGAATTTGTGACGATATGTGGATTTATGTATGTTTGTTTTGTATGTCTCTTGCAAAAATATAGTTACCTGCTGTCCTCCCTGCCCTGTGAAAAAAAAAACCATCTGTATAATGATAGGTAGTTCATTTTCTACACTGACCTGTCGAGGATTCTTGAATCTCAAATCGCAAACTTCGCCTCGCTAAATTAACTATCTGTACCAGGATAATTTCTTATATATTATACTCATCACAGACTAGACAACGAAGGCGACTCGACTGGAGAAAACATTAAAGTTTATAACCTTGAAAATGGTCAACGGGCATTCGCGTTAATGATGTGTGTGGGTGTTGTAGTACCAGAACACTCCGCTGCTGGAGGGCGTGCAGGAGCTCGCGCCCGCCGACCCCGACAACAAGGACCCCGACAAGCAGGACGAGAAAGGTAACCTACACTACACTTCACTTTTGGATAAGACATAAACTAGAAAAATTTTATGGCAACACAAACGTAAATTATAAAATAAATATTAATAAAAAATTGTAGCGCGAAAGGAGTAATTATGGTAAATAAGGTTAGATGTTCCACGAAATAATAATCCAGCGTTACTGAATTTAAACGATTCGCTCGTAACGTGGTTAACATACATCATAATCTGCGGCGGTCTCTGTGTTTAATCACAACACTCGCTACGTTTATGAAAAGTGTTATGTTCAGATCTGTTGCAAGGTCGTGTGCGTGTGTATCGTTAGTGTAGGCGTTGTGTGCTCGGCCAGAGGGCGGCGTTTGCGGGGCGGGGGCGGGGGCGGGGGCCCACTGGGACGACCTTGCGGATATATTCCGCGCCCCGGACAGTCACAGTTACAGTACGACCTAGTGCATATTCCTTCCTATTACATAGCTTCGGTTGGGATGCGCTTGGATTAGACGATTGGAACTTTTGGGTGTTAAGATTCATTGTTAAGGTCGGAGCGAACTATCAGAACGGTATTATTACAAATTAGTTTCGGAAAAAAATTGTTATGTTAAAATCTTTATATTTTTACTAATTCGTATGTGAAGAAAATAAATATAATGATTTTTATTTCGAAAAACATATTTATTTTTCAGAATAAGCTGAAAAAATAAACGCGATTGCCGCCGTGAATGTTATACATATAATTTTGTCGTCAAATATAATATTGTCTGATAGTGTGTTTATCTCTTTCGTTCATATGACCGTATCGCTGGTGGTGGTGGGTATTGGAGTGGGAATTTACCTTTACTGTACATTTATATTGTAGGTATGGGAATAACTTTGTAACTTTGGAATTATGCTAATTTATATTATGTGGTGAAGGAAATATATAATTTGAATACCGAGTAATTAGGGTAGTGGTAATGCATTTTAACTCTGTACGTGATTTGTATTAACGACTGATCTACTGACATTCGGTATACAGCCTGGTATTACACCGTTATGCCCGTTTTCACTAACCTAGAACAAGGCATATCTTATCTAGAAATCACTTAATGTTAAGAATAGGTGAAACAGATTTGACCAATATCAAACCAAACCTGTAACTTTAGTTAATGCCTTAGTAAGTACTTGCTTCGTTAGGCAATGTTTGTCTATGATTTTGCATGCTTCAGTTCCTCTTTTTTTCTTTCATGGATGGCATATTTGCATTTACACAATTCTGCCAATATTACGTTAGTGGCTTTTACACGTAAAGAGACAAAAATAAAAATTTATATTTTGAAATAGTAAAACAAGAAAAAAATATGAGGTCTTGTATTTACACGAGCACAAGTCCTCATTGTCCATTTAAAAAAAGTCCGAAAATTAAAAAAAAAAATCATTGCTTATATCTTAATTCTAATATATAAACTCCTTGATTCCAAATTACTAAATTAATTTTATCCTTCGATACATCCGCTGGGGCCGAAGAGTAAATGTATATGTCACATTATTCAAACGCCCAGCGCTAGGCGCCGTACCATGCTTGTCCCTAATTTTATGCGTTGCTTGAAGTCGTTAGGTGGTTTTTTTTAATTGTTGAATCGCATTTCACCTTTGCCACAAATGCCCAAATGTGCAAATATTTAGGTGTCAGATTTGGGCGGCCGACTAAGTTTAGTGAAAACGGGCATCGGTGCTCTAATTTGATGTTCTTTTTTTATCAAAGAAAACGTATTTATCGTTTTGAAATTAGTAATACTATACGGCACGTACATATAAAACGTATGGTAATTTTCATTGATAAAAAAAAAGAAACATCGTCACGTAAACAAAATAACAATAAAAGAACACGCGTGCAGGCGGCGAGGGGGCGGGCGCGGGGACGGGCGCGGGCGCGGGCAAGGTGGCGCTGGAGGACTTCCACTTCATCAAGGTGCTGGGCAAGGGCTCCTTCGGGAAGGTCATGCTGGCCGAGAAGAAGGGCACCGACGAGGTACGCCCGCCGGCGAGCATAAGTTCACTTCGGCGTTCGAACGGCAGTCGATGTAATATAACGCTATGCGGCGGCAGGTGTACGCGGTGAAGGTGCTGAAGAAGGACGCCATCATCCAGGACGACGACGTGGAGTGCACGCTCACGGAGCGCCGCGTGCTGGCGCTGGCGGCGCGCCACCCCTTCCTCACGGCGCTGCACTCGGCCTTCCAGACGCGCGACCGGCTCTTCTTCGTCATGGAGTACGTGGACGGGGGCGACCTCATGTTCCAGATCCAGCGCGCGCGCAAGTTCGACGAGCCGCGCGCCAGGTGAGTGCTGTGCGAGTGTGAGCGAGACAGCGCGCCCCGCAGCTAGCTCACTCTGCCCCTTGTCGGCCGCAGGTTCTACGCGGCCGAGGTGACGCTGGCGCTGCAGTTCCTGCACGAGCACGGCGTCATCTACCGCGACCTCAAGCTGGACAACATCCTGCTGGACAGCGACGGCCACTGCAAGCTGGCCGACTTCGGCATGTGCAAGGAGGGCATCCTGGGTACGATCCACTCTAATACCGATCGATGGCCTGTCATAGATATTATAATTAAAATACATGAAACAAATCTAAAAATAAAGATAATTTCCCGTGATAACATTAACTTCTCTCATGGCGTCCTCGTCACGTTTCGCCCTATAAGGTTTAATTGTCGATGTTCTGATATAAATAGAGAGGTGTGACGTCACGTGCAGTTTTTATATATTTAAATATTTGTTGACGTGGACATGTTTTCGTTCTACAGGGGGGTCATTCTGTCAGCAGGAGTATATGCACTAACGCCATCCGTTGGCGCTAGTGAATACTTTTTCATTCAACAAATGAACGCAACGAATATTTATTTATTTAGTGTTTAGTGTCTTCAATTTCTTTTTTTTTTTTTTTTGATTTATTCATTTATAAATGCAATAATGCCACAACGTTGCATAATTCCGGGTTGTTTTGGAGAAGCGAATCGTTCAGTTCTTAGAGTGCCAAAGAACATTGATAGACGTGAAGAGTGGTTAAAAGCTATTCGTGACGTGTTTCCTTATCTGGATGTTGGTGAAATTTTTTTTTTATCAGTTACTCATATATCCATTCATACATATGTAGACGTATCCACACATAAAATATGGCTGTATCAATGATACAGCCAACCAGGGTTTTTTTTTCATAATTATTTTAAGCGATATTATAAATTTAACAAACATTAAAGTGCGATTATTGGCAAATTACCATTTGCACTAGTGTTGTTGCATCTTTCCTGTCGACGTTTGATAGCCGTTCCATTGAATTTAGTGTCGTTACTTGTTATTCTAACATAATAAAATCTGAAATATGACATTAGATCACGAGATCCGAGGATATTCGTATCGAACGTATATTCGAACACTCCTCGCTCCCGTTGTCTACGATAATTATTTCGGGCCGATCGACAGATACGTTTCATAATATGTGACGCCGGTGCGATCGTTTCTAGATGGCGCCACCACCACCACGTTCTGCGGCACGCCCGACTACATCGCCCCCGAGGTACGTGAGTCGACGGATCGATTAGATTAATTCTATAAAGTGACACCGTGGGTGTATAACCGAAAGTGTGGTGTAGATCCTGCAGGAGCTGGAGTACGGGCCGTCGGTGGACTGGTGGGCGCTGGGCGTGCTCGTGTACGAGATGCTGGCGGGGCAGCCGCCCTTCGAGGCGGACAACGAGGACGACCTGTTCGAGTCCATCCTGCACGACGACGTGCTGTACCCCGTGTGGCTGTCCAAGGAGGCCGTGTCCATCCTCAAGGGGTTCATGACCAAGAGCCCGGCGCGGCGCCTGGGCGTGGCCGGCGGCGCGGCCGGCATCCGCGCGCACGCCTTCTTCCGCGACGTGGACTGGCCCGCGCTGCAGGCCCGGCGGCTGCGGCCGCCCTTCCGCCCCAAGGTGGTGAGTGCTCTACGTGGCGATGAATGGACGATTCATCACAAAAAAGAGTTCAATTCGTGCCAGTAATTCGTAATATTACAATTTTAATGTTAGCGTAGTTTTAATTTAATTTTAAAGCAAAAAAAAAAATGATAATTTTTCGCAATATTTATTTCATACCTGTCTATACAGGGAGGAACAAAATGACCGACACAGCCGAAAGTTTCAAGTTAGGTTACATGCAAACGTTCATTTTATTTGACAAATATTTAAAAATAGGTATAAAAATAGGTGTAAAAATGAAGTAAAAATTTTAAATTTCTCAGTGTTAACAGCCCTATAACGCGCATGCGCAATGTCGATTGTGTGCAGATTACAACGAACCGCGAAATACATTAATTTAATTATTTACCGATATCTTAATGATAGTCGATGCTGAAAATGTCCACTTCCTCTCTGAAGACTGAGCTAAGCACGCTCTTTTCAATGCCGGTGCATGCACGCGCAAAACACATCAGATTTCACAAAAAACTAAACACAATCTTCACTAAACTAAACTTAACATTCAAGACGAACACTCTAGTATCTTATTGACGAAAATTCAATTAAAAATGCACTAGAACAAAACAAAAATCGACAAAAAAGACGCTTCGCAGCGGTGCGTCGGCGGCGATGCGCAACAACACTCCGGCGCAAAAGGTCGGCGGCGACTGATCGGCCGGAAAATATCGACAGAATAATGAAGCCGCCTGGCGGCTGGCGGACGGGTGGGGCTTTGATATCGAGGGACGAACTCGGTCCACATTTTATTTCGTCTTTTGATATCACGCATTTTTTTAATGTTCTGTTTAAATGCTATTTTAATAACAAATTCCTCAATGATTTTTAAACAAAGTTAATTTGTGTTAATGATGAATCGCTGGAAGATTTGTCAGTTTATCGAGTTTAATTAACGATCCCGTTGTTAAAGGAGTATTACCCCATTCAAACAATTTTTTTTGGAGAGTTGCTCTTTTAAAATAACGTAGGTTAATGTTAGACTGATCTCTCTACAATAATTTAGGAAATTTTACACTCGGTTTCTTAATTGAGAATTTAAAGTTAAACGTCTCAAACTAACGTGACTTAGTTTTCGTTTCCGATTTTAGTTTTTTGATGATCAGTCGATAGCAGTCTGATAAAACTAGGACTATTTGACTTGTGAAATTAAAAAACTTAGGTTATTGAGAATAAGCAGTAGAAATTTTCTACTTTTTTCAAATCAGAAATCGGCTGTTAGTTTGTAAATCGATTTAAGCATTTTGACTGCCTTGTCTATTGATTGTCTGGTAGAATTTGCATGAAAGCAGTGTTATAAATCACAAACTAGTTTATTTCGTTTTTAGAAATGAAGAAGTCAGTGACCGATTTAAATATTTTCCTTAGTGCGTCCCAAAAACAGCTGACTCAGGGTTGAAAACACTAATTTTTTTTTCAAAAACTTGGTAATTTAATATCTCCGAAACTATTTGACCTAGACTTATATTTTTTTTTACATCATATTAAAGACAAATAGTACTCTCCAGGATCCTCGGGAGTGTCGGTCGTTCTGTTCCACCGAGTATGTAAACGTTTCCGATGACTACTAGAAACAGGGTGAACGAGAGCATAGGTATAATACAAGGGCGTATGTGTCGTGTGTTATTGCAGAAGAGCAAGCGCGAGGCGGCCAACTTCGACGCCGAGTTCACGAAGGAGGAGCCCGTGCTCACGCCCGTGCCCGCCGACGTGCTGCGCACCATCAACCAGGTGCGCCCCTCACGCGACACGTGTACACTCTATCTGTTGAACTGCATCTGTCTGACGCCGAGTCTCCGTTGCGCAGGAGGAGTTCCGCGGCTTCTCTTTCGTGAACCCGGACTTCAACCCCCCCGCCCCGCCGCTGTGAGCCGCCGCCGCCGCCGTCGTCGCCGCCGCATGACGCGTCGCGGTCCCGTCGCTGTCGGCCCGCGGCGATCTGCCCTCTGCCGCTCTCGATTCGGTGTTCTGTTCGGGAGGCGAACGGATCCGTCCCGTGCCGTGCGGTTTGTTCGCCTACATTTCAGAAGACGCGCAGACGACCGTCTCGAAATACGTGCACGTCTCTGCGAAACGGAAGCGCGACGAATTGGACGGACGGAGCTGCCTCTCGTCGTGCAGTTATTTAATGTTCGGATGGATCGCGGCATTGTCGTTTAACATATTTATTTTCTACGAAAAATCCGTTGCGGGAACGATTCCTCGGGACGACTCTATCGCGGAACGAAGTACTCTATGGTCTCTAGCGGAACACGGAATGTGGGAGGTGTAAAGTTGTCGCGGACGAACGAGGAATGTTGTTGCAGCATTGCGATCGCGCGCCGATAGCGACGCGACAACTGATTTTATTATTATTACGAATAATAGAATTTAAGTGAAACTCTAGTCAAAGTCAAATGGGATTTGTGTTTTTTAACATATTTTTTTTTAAATCGATACTCTTTTTACAAAACGTGTCGAGGATGCTCTACATTTATATAGGTACGTACATGTTGTTATTGTACGGTACGAGTGTTGTCACGTTTCCCATGGTCGGTGCGAACCTGGATTCGAGTATATACGACGCGTCCTCGTTCTGGAGTACTCGATGTGTAAAGAGAAATAGAGACGTCTAAAGGTATGCCTCGGCGAATATACATATTATTTAAAGGCAAATTTGCCCGAATACTTACGTTCCCGAACGTCGTCCGTGTCTCGAATGCGTGTTGCCAGAGCGGTTACATTATGCGGGGCGATGACAACGATAAGTTTGAGGTAAAAAAAAATATGCTAGTCGTGTCGAGTGGTTGTCGATTCGTATACTCGAATCATCCGGTCGCATCCAGTCCTGAACGAGTCAGTATTGTCGACGTAATTTATTTTTATATTATCATTTTGATGTTACCGATTTATTTATTATTAGTTTTTCTAAGTTTAAAGTGTGTTATTTCTGTACGTTTCATATATAACGAGTGTCGTTCAGTCGCTCGCGAGGAGGCGTCGCATGAATCGACTCAAATTGTAATTTTAAATAGAATCAAAGTCGTTATTACTCGCGCTTCTGATGATGTTTTGAATCTTAACTGTAAATGATTAGCGGTGGAGAGTTATCGTGTTGCTACTATTACATATAGTTATTTATTATCGACGAAAGATATTTATTTACAAATGAAAATACGTCGTAAAAACTCTCATGGAAAGTCACTTTATTTGTAAAGAAAAAATAGGTTTTAAAAAATGTAATGCATGTCGTATTTCTAAAGACCGTTCGTGGTATCGTTTTTTCTTATATGTCGAGCGATTTTTCCGCCGTCCGAGCCGTCTTATCGGCTGATGTTAGCCGTGGGGGGAGGGGGGGAGGGGGGGGAGGCGGTTGGAGATCGCTCACGGGCCCCGCCTAGCGGGAGGCGCGCGTCGCCTCGGGAACATTCCTCGGATTCGGTTTCGAATCATGGAAAGCATAGCAAATGATCTGTTATACTCGTAATAATCAGTGCGAAAGATCTGATTCGCTCGGTGAAGCTTTTATTTATATTTCATGTATATCTGTCATCGAATCACATCATGAATCTCTAGAAATTGTAATGGAGCTGTAATCGGGTGCAACACGATCGTAACGAGTCCCTGGTTCGGTTCCCGGCGGCGCGGGCGGAGTGACGTCATCGCGGGACTTCACCGCGCGTCGCCACGTCATACGTTTTGTTTAAAAAACCCGCTCCGGGCCCCGGTTGATGTTTTGCGGAATCTAGGGAGAGGAGCGGAGCGCGTTTGATATTATCTACAGTTTAAAATAAAAAGCGGTGATGTCTCGCGACGGCGGACGGCCCGCGGTGTTTATGTTATGTTTGTTTCTAGCGCGTTATACTTCAGTGGGGGTGTGTGTTGATGTTAGAGTTATCGTTCGTTTGACTATCTATCGTTTGTACGATGTGTATATTTATTTGTTAAGTGTAAGCTTCGGAAGTGTTCCGTCGTGTTTAGGTCGGGTATATATTTGGAGTACAGAATAGTACAAAGTGTATATAGAGCCTCCCTGAGTCGCACCCACGCCCCCTCCCCCTCCCCCTTCCCTCTTGTGTTCTATAGTGTTTACTTCCCGAACCGAAGTACACACAGTTAACATTTTTAGTTCGCATTCTCTTCACACCTCCATAGTGTCCTGATTCGCTCGATACGTCGACCGTGAAGATCTTCTATGGCATCCCTGACGTCTGCATTTCAGAGCGGGTACTCTGTTTACTTCCCAGTCGGGTCGATAACGAAGGCTCCAGTGTCTATTTAGATTTTTACGGTCACGGCTAAAACTATCGTTCGTAACACCGATGATCGGATGTCTGACACGAACGACCGAATCAGTGACGAGGAGAAGGAGCAGGGGGGGAGGGGGGAAGGGCGTGTGGTCGCGGCTCGATGCACAAATGTAATGCTTTATGTAGTCGTTAGTGTATTATAACAGCAAAATACATATATTATAAATAACATTAAATTATAAAAAAAATCTCTGTACGTGTTCCCGGTATTTGTGACGAGTTGTAACAGGAGTTTCCGTCTTAGGTTTTCTATTCTTATTAGTTATTTTGTGTTTGGACGTCTCGAGAGCGCGGTCACTCGACTGTGGACCTTGTGACTCGCGCGTTAAGGTCGCCCGTTGCGCTCGCGGCCATAGAAATTATTGCAGCTCGAGGTGCACTCGATTATGATATTTTGTAACACATTTCGTATATTTAAGGGTAGACTTGTTTTAAAGTCGATTTTCTATTTCGCGAGTTTCAGTTTTCATCGAACAGTATCCGTCGAGAGTATATAAGATGTCCAGAAATATTTTTATTCGGTGGAACACCAAAAACTCGCAGATCTCTCCGCCTGCTGTGAATGTAGCCGTCGATACTGCCTCTCCTGGGGGACGTCGCTGTGGCCTATTACAATGGCGCCTATAGATCTGCGTCAAGGAGCCGAGTGTGATATATAGCACATGGCCAGTGGGGGGAGGGGGAGGGGGGGGGGAGGCGAGCGCACCGGGGCGACCGCGTATGTATGTGTCGGGATCCTTTTGAGCTTTCTCTGTGGTAGTACGGCCCGTTTATTGTTTTATCATACTGTTTAGTGGTTATATTATTGAACTTTTTATGCATTATCAAATTCAAAACGAGTGAGAATCGGTTTAAAATCGATTGCGTGAATTGTATTATGCTATTTAATCGTGAAATGTATTAATGGTATTTGTCAATTCAATTTTAGTCGATGTTTTTTATTATTGTTTTGTACTTATGAAAGTATTTATTTACAATATTTATAATAATACAATAGAATTCGTTAGCGCGCAACAGTCCACGGTTTGGTCATCGGTTGTAATCGTATGGGGCGACGGCGCACTGATGACACCAGTGTTTCATTAAATTTCGCTCCGTTCAATTCATAAAAACGAGAAAATTACCAGATATTTAGATTCAGCGTGAGGTCACGCAGCCAGATAATGGTGCTAACTTGCTTTTCAGACATAGTATGAATTATTTTTTCCTTTACACAATAAAAAAAAAAATACGCTTCAGCATATATAAGTTCCGCCTATATTCATAATAATAACTATTTTTTTACGTTCGTTCTACTGTCTGAGTTTCGAGTTTCGTGTCATTCGGCAAGGTCGAAACATTTCTAGTATCAATTTTGAAGGCATCCGAAGTGTTACACCAATCGTAAGGCGTATGCATCGTGAGACGTCACGTGACATGCAATCAGTCGCGAGTTGTACACCGGCCTCGTGTGTGGGCGGGGGGGGGGGGGGGGAATGTTTCCTCTCTGTCGGAGCACGTCGGCCTTCAACGAAGGCACGTTGTACACTGACATATCTTGTGTCGTCTCTCGCTTTCGCCGCTGAATCTCATACCGCGCGTCGTGTGACAGGCGTTACGGAACGTCAAATCGATCAGGGATGGTTCACAAAACTAGTTGCGTACAGAGACCGCCCGGGCCTGCGCTCGCGTACTTCGTTACCTTCAAACTAATCACAGGTGTTCCTATAATAGCTGTGATCGGCTTGTTCTCATTTTTGACCACTGCAAATTTGCCGTATACACCTGACGGATGTTGATTTTTAGAATATTTTTTTACACTGGGTATTTATTTTTATAATTTGTCGTCGTATGTTATGTTGTGCGTGTTATATGGGAACGACCGTTAATTATCTTCTCAAAATAGCCGTTAATGTATTACCGCGCACTCCTGCACATGTGCGTGGACCGATAGATATATACTTATTATATGGAGATGTTATTTTTACTCGAAATATTATAAAATAGATTTTATATATAGTAAAATCGGTGACAGGCGCGTCGTTTTATCTCGTTCTGTTCGGATGGTATTAGACGAAACTTAATAGAACTCGACCCTTCATCCTCCCTCTTCCGGGAGCGACGGTGCACGTGTTGAGTTTTGGGGGATCCGACAGACGAGTGATTGATTCGAGCGGAACGATAAATTGATCCGAGAAGACGTCGCGTCTGTCGCCGCCAGTGCCAAACCCTCGGCCGCGGCCGTCCGCCGCCAGGATCGCAGCAAGCGCATGGTATCCTCATTTAGTGTTCAGTGCTAATGCCTACGTTTTAACTGAGCCAACGACATGCGAAACATCAACGAACGCTCGTGTGGCTGATGTTTGCGTAATAATCGCATCTCGATATAATTCCAACTACATGCATTTTGCCATTGCATTATCCACCTGAAGTCCAATATCATTATATGTATAATTGCACTAATAATATTGCACTTTAAGTAGATGGTCCAATGGTGAAATGCAATTATGCGATTACATCCATTCCTGTACTGTACTCATACATCCATTATAGTACATAGTTATTATGAGGCTATGCACCGTCGCACGAGGATAGTCTATGA